CCATGGTGAGCTGGCCGTGGCAAATTGTCAGACCAGTGATGGCGAACCTTTTAGACACCGAGTGCCCCAAAACCACCTCTCCCATCCCCACTCCGTCCTGCCCGCTCCACCCCTGCCCTGCCCCCACCCACCTTGCCCTGCCCCGCCTGCCCCCGCTCCACCACCGCCCCACCCGCCCACAAGGCCACCTACCGCCTCCACGGCCTACCGCAGATTGCCCAGGTGGCCCTGCAGCGCCATGGCGGCCACACCCTCCACCCGCACCCTGCAGCATCATCTGTGCACGATAGGGTGCAAGGGCGGAGTATTATCACTGATGCCCAGCTTCCATGTCCTTAGCTGCGCTGCTCTGCGCGGGCCACACCCGGGGGCAACTCTCCTTCAGCGGGGCTGCTGGTGAGGAGGGGGCCATGGGGGGAGGCGGGGCTGGGGCGACGGCACGTGTGCCCACCAAGAGGGCTCTGCGTGCTGCCTCTGGCACACGTGCCATAGATTCGCCACCACTGTCACAGACCCTTACAAACTTACCATGAGCATGGAGAATAATCTCTACTACCACATTACCTAATGGCATTACTTGTACCTTGTATTCTGCTTCCTGCTTCTGATGCACAACAGAATCAAAAACGTTTTGTTCTGTTTGACATTCTTGATCTTTCTTTTCCTGCTCTGTCTTAGCTTTCTGCTCTTGGTGTTGCACTTTAGGCTTCAGAAAATCAACTTCTAGCTGTCTTTTTTGCTCTGTTGTTTGCTGCTGTTGTCGCTGCTCTGTCTAGTCAGGCAAATAGGAATCCTATGTTAATGGCAGGAGGACTCAGTTTTCTCAAAATAATTCCTGGCAGAAATGTTAAGTATATTGCTAGGAGAGCACTAATACTTTTTTTTTTTACCAGTATTAATCCAGATTCCCAGGTTGTTTTAAAAGAGACTACGCAAGAGTTATATATAAACAGGCAATTCTTACAGATAGTCCTCAATTTACAACCATTGGTTTAACGACAGCTCAGACTTGTAATGACACTGAAAAAAGTGACAAGGCCCATCATTAAGGTTAGGATTACTGCATCATCTTGCAGTCCTGTGATCACAATTTGGATGCTTGGCAAACCAGCTCACATTTATGACGGTTGCAGTGTTCCGCAGTCACATCACCGTGATTTGCAATCTGCTCAGATGGCTTCCCACCAGTAAAGTCAATGCAGGAAGCCTGATTTATTTAATGGCTGCAGTGATTCACTTAAACACTATGGCAAAAATGGTAAAATATAGCGTGATCCCATGATGCCTCACTTAATGACAGTAATAATAATAATAATAATAATAATAATAATAATAATAATAATAATAATAGTAAAGTTGGAAGGGACCTTGGAGGTCATCTAGTCCAACCCCCTGCTCAGGCAGGAAACCCTATACCATTTCGGACAAATGGCTGTCTAGTTTCTTCTTAAAAACTTCCAGTGTTGGCGCATTCACCGCTTCTGGAGGCAGGTTGTTCCACTGGTTAATTGTTCTAACTGTCAGGAAGTTTCTCCTTAGTTCTAGGTTGCTTCTCTCCTGGGTTAGTTTCCATCCGTTGCTTCTTGTCCTGCCTTCAGGTGCTTTGGAGAATAGCTTGACTCCCTCTTCTTTGGGGCAGCCCCTGAGATATTGGAACACTGCTATCATGTCCCCCCTCGTCCTTCTCTTTGTTAAACTAGACATACCCATTCCTTATATGTTTTAGCCTCCAGTCCCCTAATCATCTTTGTTGCTCTTCTCTGTACTCTTTCTAGAGTCTCAACATCTTTTTTACATTTTAATGACAACTTTTCTGGACCCAACTGTGGTCACAAATCATGGACTACCTGTATTGCCTTCGTCTTTTATAATAGGGATGCACCAAAGTTCAATATTTGAATTAACATTCAGTCCTTTTAAAATAATTATTTTAATTTAATGACATCTACAAATTAAAATAAAACATATATACAAATCAAACAAAGCAAAATGTAAAAAAATCTAAGTAAAATTTAATATAATTTTATAACACAAGCGCTATGCAAAAAAAAAATCACGCATCGTGAAAAAGTGTCAGCTTGGCTGTGCATTGTTTATAACATATTCATGAATGGTGGGAAGAACTCTTATGAATTAAATATGGCTGCTTAAATCTGATCTCTGTAGCCGAAACTTGACTTTTGCATTTGCTAACCTTGCATGATCATGACTTTCAAATGTGCAGATGCAGATTTATATTGACTAATATTCCTTGTTCCTTTAAGACCTGTGTGGGTTTCTTTCTTCGCTTATCTAATATTGCAAAATGGAAAAAAGTATCCTGCAGACTACTTTAGACTGCTATTGGACTAATCATTAAAACGTTCAAATATTTGGTGCTTAAAAAGAAAGCCATTAAGGCAGTTTTCCTCAAATAGGAAAATCACAGGCATATCCACTTCAGTTATTAAGGAATCCAAGGGATGAGGCTATCACATTCATGCCACTTCTAGATTACAAGAAATGGCCTGGCCTGATCCAGCACAGTCCTTATCTTCACCCGTTTAATAGTTTTATTGTTAGATATTATTTGATACATCGTATATTTCCATCCTGTGCTATTGATTCAAACGTTCTTTTTCATGTTCGTAGATTTCCAGGTAAAACATATAACTATACGAAAAATACTACGCCTTCTGCAATCCCCAAAAAAGGAAAAAAAGGAATTAATGCGATTTGAAAATAACAAGCGCTAAATATAATTCCTAACCAACGTAACACTTAAAATATTTCAAATATGAAAAAAAAAACAATGTTACAAAAACGCTTAAGGTATTGATAGTGCTAAAAATAGCCGTACCTGTGTGAATCTTTCTAATTCCTTTCTAATTTTAGTGGTTTGCTCTTGTGCTTGTTTTATAAGTTCATTTCCAGCAACAATAGTTTGGTCCAGTATTTCTGGAAACTCTTAAAAATACGTAAACAAAAATATCAGATTGCAGACAGTTTGAATAATTTAAGCAAAACATACATTATTAAACATTTAAAACGATAGAATACTAAGAGAGGGAGGGATTTAGGGAGAATATGGTAAACGGCACATAAACGCAGGTAAATTCTTTATATGGATCTTACTAAAAGAGGTCCACCATACTGAGGTTTAATAATTTAGGCTTCTGATTTTTCCTTATAAAATTCAACTACAATGCATCAACATCCTATACTTTATTTTTTACTTCTTCAAAAGTCTTCGTGAATCTAAGTTCCCGCCTGGACTATTGCAACGCTCTCTACATGGGGCTCCCCTTGAGGTGCACCTGGAGGCTCCAGCTAGTTCAGAATGCGGCCGCGCGGGGGATCCTGGGGGCCTCTAGATACTCCCATGTAACACCTCTCCTGCGCGAGCTGCACTGGCTGCCTGTGGCCTTCCGGGTGCGCTTCAAGGTGTTAGTAACAACCTTT